GCAATGCTATTTTCCCTGTCTAAATCCTACAGGAAGGTACTTAATTGTCTAAGGAAGTATGCAGTTTACAAATGTTGTAAATTTAACTTACAGATCGAAGCATCTCCTGGCTATTGCCCAACTAAACTCTTGGGTAGTGATCACCCCAGAAAGACAACGCCGTGATACAGAGTCGTTCATTGATCTCATAATAAAAACTGGCGGAGGTGTTGGTTTTCGAATGAGAAGCCCTGACTTAGGTATGTTGAAATGTTTAGAATAAAACAGGAATTTGCATGATAAAACACTACAAGTTATAAATAGTGAAGCTTACGATACTAATGAATACATTCAAAACAATGGGTTAAAACAATAATTTCCATGCACCTTCCACTTAATGTTAGATATTCCATATTTAAACATAAACAGGCTCATGCTTAGCTTAAATCAATCCACGCTATCATTAATTACTACACCACACTATTGCTCTCGGTGTCATTCACTAGTCAATAAACCTATTTTTTGTGTGAATCATGGAAAAGAGCCATTCTGTACATAGTTAGTGCCTATTGACCATTTAATATTCATCATACAAAATGTATTAATACAATGTCATTGATGTTATACAGAAATACAACTAAATACCATACTTATATTATGTTCTCAGTCCATCCTATTAATTTTAACTAACAAACCATTAATGTTTTCCAGTTGTGATTCGTCATGACGGTCCGATAGAATATGCTAATATGTGTGAAGAAGTGATTGCAAGGAAAAATCCTGCCCTGATACTGTGCGTTCTGGCTAGGAATTATGCTGATAGGTTAGTTGATTTGAGAAGATCAGCATCAATATAATCGTTTAAAGTTCTCATTAGACGCTTATTCATATATTTTTAAAAATAGGTATGAAGCCATAAAAAAGAAATGCACTGTAGACCGAGCCGTGCCGACGCAGGTAGTCTGCGCTCGTAACATGAGTAGCAAGTCGGCTATGTCAATTGCTACAAAAGTTGCTATTCAAATAAACTGTAAGGTAGGTAACTTGCATTAAACTTTTACTGTATAATTTGAATGTGCTTTAATAGGTTTTATCCATTGATAAGCAAGCATATTGACTAATGGTAAAATCGCTGGATTTATTATTAATTTCGCTTTAATTATCCATCGTCATAAAAAGACTGAAAAATCAGCACACAATAATTATATCCTGTATTAGACTGTTTTTATATCTAATCACAAGCTTTAAAACCGAAGGTTTTCTAATCATTTATTCTAGACCATTTCATTTTTTTAATGATATACTTTGCTATGATGTTTCTGTGATTGGTTATTTATTTTCATTTTTGTTATAATGTTATCGTTTTTTTTTATAGCTTGGGGGTTCTCCGTGGACAGTAGATATTCCACTGCCGTCACTGATGGTGGTCGGGTACGACGTGTGCCACGACACTCGTTCGAAAGAAAAGAGCTTCGGGGCCTTCGTAGCCACCCTCGACAAACAGATGACTCAGTACTATTCAATCGTCAATGCGCACACTTCCGGAGAAGAACTCAGCTCTCACATGGGTTTCAATATCGCGTCCGCCGTCAAAAAATTCCGCGAGAAAAACGGTAAACTTACATGCATACAGTAGACAATATAATGTAACCCTGCTACAGTGTGTACTTGCTTGTACAGATTGCTGAGTGATACTACGATTTCATCTGATTTAATTTTTGAAAAAAAACATGTGTAATCGTAACGAAGTTCGGCACTATTGTAGTTTTTCTGACAACATGTACATACTAAATTGGTTTCCAGGGACCTACCCAGCCCGGATCTTCATTTACCGCGACGGTGTCGGTGATGGTCAAATCCCCTATGTGCACAGCCATGAAGTGAGTTTTTAATAACAGTATTGCTAAATATCAAAATCCACAGAATATTATATAGCACAGAGATGTTTCAAGTAAATATTTATTTCATTTATACAAGAAAACTGACTCTCTGGATCTAGTTTCTTTGTAATTAGAAATATTATGTTAATCCAATCCAGTGTAACTGATAACACTGTTTACAATGTCCAGGTTGCTGAGATAAAAAAGAAATTGGCAGAAATTTATGCAGGAGTCGAAATAAAGTTGGCATTCATTATTGTGTCGAAACGTATTAACACCCGAATCTTCGTTCAACGTGGTCGCAGCGGAGAAAATCCACGCCCTGGCACAGTGATTGACGACGTCGTCACCTTGCCTGAACGGTAAATACAACTCTTATCGTTAAGACATAAGTAAACTAGTTCAGAACACAGTTTGAGCCGAAGTCGAAATCTGAGGTCAATTAATTACAAATATAATGAATATTTTCACTACAAACTGTAGCATGATGGGGCTCAAATAGAAATGATTATCCAGACAAAATAACCAATAAACAAAAATTATATAATTTCAAAAAATTCAATATATATTCAAATTAATAAAAAAAATATAGATTTTTGTAATGTTTACAGTAATTAAAATTTTCATTGCAGGTATGATTTCTATCTTGTTTCACAAAATGTACGTGAAGGTACCATTGCTCCTACCTCTTATAATGTGATTGAAGATACAACAGGACTCAATCCTGATCGTGTAAGTGTTCACAACTTATTTTAATAGAATATTCAAAACACCAAGACCTTTACTTACGTGATATTGTATTTCATATCATCTAATCTTATGTTAACAAATCGATTACTAATATCCTGAAATATTGATTGATACACACTATTACAATTTCCTAAATTTATAATAAATAGAACAGCCCACGATTCATCCGTATGGACTTCATAGTCGTTTAGAAATGCATTTTTATTCTAAACCCTCCAATAAAACTAGCGCATTTCAAAAAAAAATACTAAGACATAATCGATCACTACTGTAAACACGCTTATAAACTAATAATTTGACTCTGAGAAAATATAAAGTAAAATAAATCCAATAGCTTTGGTGTAACACGCACACAACGCAAAATAAACATATAATAAAACGGTTACTTTTTTCAGATCCAACGTTTGACCTACAAACTGACACACTTGTATTTCAACTGCTCTTCCCAAGTTCGCGTGCCATCGGTCTGCCAATATGCCCACAAACTTGCATTCCTTGCAGCTAACAGTCTGCACAACCAACCGCATTATTCATTGAATGAAACTTTATATTTCCTCTAAGTATTTTTAAAGACAACCTATTTTTTTCTAGATTAAGTAAGTGTACCCACCGAGAAACTATTTTCGATGTGCATAACCATACAAATCATAGAACTCTATTAGAAATAGTTCGCAATCATAACGTGAGCTTAATATTGCTCAAAGTAATTCATTTCATAGTTTTTTAAAAGATATATTAAATAAGACTCATTCTCTTGGACGTTTTTGATGTATGATTAGTGTGGCATAGCAAGAAGCAGCTAATGCGCGTAGTAGTAGTACATGTGACCTAGACTCGTTTTTACGATAATTAAAATGTAATGAGTGTTCTAGTTGTTTACTACATAAGATTCATTTTATATTTGATTGACAATTGTCAAATTTTTCTTTTTATTTTGGCTACAATGATGTTGAGTGGAAATGCAAACGAATAATTATTAAATTACAAGTTATTCAAATTGAATCAAGTGCATTCTTCCACGCTACAAGCAGTGATCTGAAATCTAGCCAACGTATAATTAGTTTTTTTTTTTTTTTGCTCTGTTACTTAAGGCTTTTATATCAACGATGTTACCTCGTTTTAGTTCTAAGTTTCGTGATAAGTTTTGACTTACATGCAACATGTAGCTTTTAGAAAAGATTTTTGTTTTTCATGTTTTTTTTTATTACAATTTCATTTTTATTAATATAAAATAGTTTTATTTTTAAATAACCACATTCTCATTATTAATTTAATATAAATTTAGCTGTTCAAAAGATTTTATTCACAATTTTTATTTTTGTTTTGGTCAGGTATATTATGCCATTGAATGAACAAGTTACAAAATACAAAACCGAAATATGATAAACTACAGTTTCGAGACAATTATTACTCGAAGATATTGAGAAGTGAAAATCTATTTGGTTTAGGCGACATTTTTGCAACTTTACAGGAGGGCCATTAGAGTTTAAAATTGGAAAAAAAAAACAAAATAATTCTTTAGCTATTTGACTGGAGTAAACTTAAGTTCAATTAGAAACATTGAATTGTTGATGTTAATACCAAATAAAACGCAACTTTAATTACAAGCATATATGTCGCGTATTAAGCGTAATGTCACCTAAACCAAATAGCCTTTCACCTTCAGATTGATCGTAGATTTATCTGAATCGGAATGAAATAAAACTGCCGTATTTACTCGATTGCACAAAAAAAAGGCTAAACTGTAATTCAATACTGACTAGGGTTGAATAACAGTGAATCTAATATGAAAAGATTGCTACCAAGTCACGCAATAAACGGTTTTAGAGGACATTTTCCTAGAGAGATTTTATAACTAAGGGTAAGGGGCGTAATGTGGTCAACACTGCAACCAGACAGCGCAGCTCGCCCCAAGGAAGGTCGACGGAGCCTTCGAGTTGAATGGAAGGTTCTGGAACGTTGCCGTCCCAGTAAGGCAACCCGTCAAGCCACGTAGACGGTGCCGCTGATGTCACGGAATACCCCGCTGGACCAGAACCAGCCGGTCGGGTCAGAACGCGATAGACCGACGGTTGCTCTTTTGACAATGATATTAATGATATAACTCTTCGGCAACACGCTAGAGTTCTTGCAGCGCGCTACGCAGCCCCTACCCTCAGGTCGCCCCATGACGTTTACCGGGAGGAAGCCGCCTCGTACAGGGATAGCTCATAACACATTTTTAATATATATATTTTTATTGCTTACATGGGTGGACGAGCTCACAGCCCACCTGGTGTTAAGTGGTTACTGGAGCCCATAGACATCTACGACGTAAATGCGCCACCCATCTTGAGATACAAGTTGTAAGGTCTCAGTATAGTTACAACCGCTGCCCCACCCTTTAAACTGAAACGCATTACTACTTCACGGCAGAAACAGGCGGGGTGGTGGTACCTACCCGCGCGGACTCACAAGAGGTCCTACCACTAGTTAGAGGTGGTAAAAGACATGATCCAAGCGAAGCCGGGTATATGTAAAAAAGAAAATAATAAAAAATTACAGCAAGACCGCGCTTAACGCTGTTTCAGTTTAACGCTCTATTATTTGAATTGTGGGATTCCCCGAAATTGCACACAACGTTAGGTTTCCCGATAAACGAAACAGTTTATCTTCGTTTCTGCGGTATTATACGAACGTATTTTTATCGTTTCAACCCTCAGACACAGCCCACTGAGTGTCTCGCTGGATCTTCTCAGTGGGTCGCGTTCCGATCCGGTGGCAGATTCTGCGAGGCACTGCTCTTGCTGGGGCTAGTGTTAGCAAATTCGTTAGGTCAGGGCCCCGTGAACTCACCTACTGGCTCGGTGAATTTAGTATGGAGCCCTCGAGGACACTAGAATATGTAGGAAAAAAAATTCGTTTCAAACATTTCACGTTATTGTATGTATAAATTTATATAATGATAATGATTGATATAGTGACAAATATTTATGTTTTAATGGGTGATAATAAAAAACACGAGAATAAAACAACAAGAAAAAGTATTTCACTAGAAACTAAAATGCAGGTGATTAGAAGATTAGATACTGATGAACGTCAATCTCAAATTGGTGCTGCATTGAATTTGACAACTTCAACAATAAGGACTATTTTCAAGGCAGAAAACTGGAAATACAGAAGAGACTGAAGGATCTGAAACGTAAGCATACTGACTTAGAATTTTATTTATTTTTGGATGTATGTATTACTATATTCATTTATTGTTTCTATATATTTTGTAAGAAATAACTTTTTGTTATAAAAAAGAATTAATAAATTGAATGGTAAAATACTTGACAATTTTTTATACATTTTCCCCTAATCCCATTATTTACATGATGAGATAACCTCGTTTAACGTTGTTTTATTATATATGACGCTCTACTTTGACGGAACGCATACCCGCGTTAAGCGGGGTCTTACTGTATTAATATGCTCGCTGGTTTATGGTTTTGCGTGTCAACGGATTTACAAATTAAATTAATTAAACAAATAAAACAGAGTGACAAGCAACACGAGTCCTTTTTTAATTACAAATCGAAGCGACCGTGGGTGGAGACCCCGGAGTACTTCTAATTTTGATACTTAATGTATGTACATGGACAAGGCCAAGAATGTTTTTATACTAACCCCGATTTTAGCGGGTACGTAGGTAGACCGAAAGCTAAACTTATTAACTGTGTAATTTTTGACATACTTAGTGCAATTAAAAGTTGAGCTGTGAGACGGTTCGAAACTACACGAATCAAGTTAAGCCCGTACCTTGCTACATCGCTTCGTATTCCAATTGTCTCCATCAATGCGTAGCCATCAAACCGCTGCCTACCGGTTAATACTCTCCACAAGCCTCGTTTGAAGAAGGACATGTCATAGCGCTCAGGAAACACCGTGGAGGGGAGCTCATTCCAAAGTAAGTGGGAAAAATAATCCCTGGAAACGCACTGTGGATGAACGCAGTGGCTCCAGGTAGTATGGATGAACTTTACTACGGTGGCGAGCAGTGTAATGGTAAAAACGAGATGATGGTATCATCTCAATTCCCCAGAGCACTCCCCATACGGTACAAAATACAGAGAGAAAGACCCAGAGGTTCCAAACGATCCGTGAGAATGGGATTATCGACAATCCGAACGGCTCTCTTCTGTATGGTTTCTAATGGAAGTAGCTGGTATTTGGGAGCTTCGGCCCAGAGGTGGGAGCGTACTCCAGGCGACACCGGACCTGTGCTTTGTAAAGCAAAAGTCTTTGTCCAGGCGTGAAGTACCATTTGTTTCTGTTGAGGACTCTCAGTATTTTTGCCGTCAACTTGGCTTTGCCCTCCAAGTGACTCCGAAACTGAACATAAAGTTCTAAGGAGTCTAAAGTTCTCTAAAGGACAAGAGTTCTTAGGTCTCAGTTTTAACAGTACAACGACTATCTCACCCTCAAACCGAAACGCTTCACAGCAGAAATAGGCAGGTTTTTTTTTATTGCTTTGATGATGGACGAGCTCACTGCCCACCAGGTGTTAAGTGGTTACTGGAGCCCATAGACATCTATAACATAAGTGTGCCACCCACCTTGAGATATAAGTTCTAAGGTGCACAAGTATAGTTACAACGGCTGCCCTACCCTTCAAACCGAAATGCATTACTGCTTCACGGCAGAAATAGGCAGGGTGGTGGTACCTACCCGCGCGGACTCACAAGAGGTCCTACCACCAGTAATTACGCAAATTATTATTTTGTGGGTTTGATTTTTATTACCTACACGATGTTATTCCTTCACCGTGGAAGTCAATCGTGAACATTTGTTGAGTACCTATTTCATTGGAAAAATTGGTACTCGCCTGATATTCGAACACCGGTGCATCGCTTCAACATAAATGCACCGGACGTTTTATCCTTTAGGCCACGACGACTTCCATGTCATCAGGGTGGGCATATTTTTACCTGTTTTGTGTAAAATTTATTATAAGCGAATGAAAACAGTGCAATATCAAAAGCTAACTTCGTTACCACTACTCTGTGAAAGGGTCTTTACGTAGCACGTCGTTCTGTTCGCTGTTACAGGCAAGTATCAAAGTCCATACAAAATAGACAGCCGCTTGGCTGTGCCCCTGGCATTCGTGACATCCATGAGCGGTGGTCATCATTATCATTCTCCTGCCCTTCTCCCAGTCACCCGGGGTCGGCCTTTTTTTCGGATCCCCACCCGCACGGCAGGTGGGGTATGTGGAAGTCGAACCTCACTAAAAACTCCTGCCGCTCACAGCTGGCGCCCTACCCCGGACCGGGCGGAAACCCAGTCGGAGCTATTGAGACGGCGGGACCGGGTTTACGCAGAGCACATTACATCCATCCCGCCGTCCCCCAGACGCCGGACCGGCGGCCGCCAGCAAATGACCGCCGGTTCCCTCGGTCGACGGGCCAAGAGCCCGATTGATAGTGCCGCGCTACACCTTCCCCCGGAGCGGTCGGGGGAACGCGACCTACCACGCTGCCCCACGCCTAGGTTCCTCCCCGCACAAAGCGGGTGGAGCCCGAAGCTCTTAGGGGGCCGGGTTACGGACGGGACCCCGGTCCCGACCCCCTGCTCGGCGGCGGCGGGTTTCTGCGTAGTGAGGAGAGCTTTGCCTCACTCGCCCCGCCGCCTCCTTCTGCGAGATGGCCTAACATGTTTTCTCCTTCCATACTCCTCTATCATATAACATTTCTTCGCTCACTCGCCCTCTGACACATATCGTCAAAATGGGCATAAAAAAAACAAGAAAGTATATTCATTACTTGTAATTTCGCCCACTCTGTTCTATCGATTAAATTGTTTACGGTACCCGTTACATAGCAACGCGCCTCACGGACAGTGTTTACTACGATTAAGGGAAACGCATGTAAAACATTGCTATGTAAAGAGTTTTCCTGGTTCTCAGAAAACATGACCGAAGAAAAGGGTAACGAAGAAGCGGACTGGAAAGTTTACGAGGCGTTGGTCAGCAAAAGCCCTTCAGACGTGAGTTAAATGTTACAATGTTAATCAACGTGTTACAATAACTATAATAATGATAATTATTATTTATTTACTACATAAACTCTTAAATCATGACCCAGAATACTATTTACATATTTAAGAAATTGAGAGATTACGCAGATGCATCAACAATATAATATTAACCAATGATCCTCCACTAGGCACAGCCTGTATCGTGAGGACCAAAATACGATTTACTATGTATATAATCGACCTCAAAACGACGTCACTATTATTAATAATTATTACACTCAAAAACATGTAACTAATTTTAAATTTCTCTGATCACTCGCTATTTTACTTCAAAGTCATTGTTATATACTGCATCCTCAAAGTACTTGCTCACTGCTTACAAAAACTGATGCACAGGTGCTTAATAGAATGATATGATAGAATGAATGCCTAATAGAATGACAAGACAATTTAAGATAAACAACGTGTTTTGCATAGGCACATGTTGTGATTCCGCACGGGTAGTTACATACTGTCTATTTTTTCCGAAAAGGACTCCTGCGTTCTGGTTAAATGTTAGGATACCCAATGTACCAATACAAATCATATATCCAAGTTCTGTCTCGAACTATGCGAAGATATAAGATATAAGAACCCGCAAAATTATAATTTGCATAATTACTGGTGGTAGGACCTCTTGTGAGTCCACGCGGGTGGGTACCACCGCCCTGCCTATTTCTGCCGTGAAGCAGTAATGCGTTTCGGTTTGAAGGGTGGGGCAGCCGTTGTAACTATACTTGAGACCTTATAAATTATCTCAAGGTGGGTGGCGCATTTACTTTGTAGATGTCTATGGACTCCAGTAACCACTTAAGACCAGGTGGGCTGTGAGCTCGTCCACCCATCTAAGTAATTTTTGGGTAAAAATATTGTGCCACAAAAGCTGTCAAGAAATATGACGAACACCTCTATTCATAAATTTATGATGCCGATGTTATAAATCGACGTTTTAGACTTTTCTTGAGTATAAAGAAAATAAAGTGAAACAATTTTCATGCACAACAATTAGGGGTCGAACCGTTGATACTGCCTTCGTGCCTCGTACCGGCAGCGCTTCTCGGTCATAACCCTCGCTAAATGTACTTAAACACTTCATGCACAATATTCCCTTGAAATAATTAGGTATACGTATTACGAATAGTACAATAATGGATCGATCAAAATATCCGAATGACAAAATATCCATAAACCTACTTCACAGTACCAATATGTTATGAACCAATTGCAAATATTGAAATTTTCTTAATTAATGAATTAAACTGAATTTTTTTTTAATTAATTTTATACAAAAAGAGATTACAGTTCTACACTGTGCTGTTTTTGATATGAAATCAAAGAAGATTCATATAAAATTTTACTGGTGGTAGGACCTCTTGTGAGTCCGCGCGGGTAGGTACCCGCCTGTTTCTGCCGTGAAGTAGTAATGCGTTTCGGTTTGAAGGGTGGAGAAGCCGTTATAACTATACTTGAGACCTTAGAACTTGTATCTCAAGATGGGTGGCGCATTTACGTTGTAGATGTCTATAGGCTCCAGTAACCACTTAACACCAGGTTGGCCGTGAACTCGTCCACCCATCTAAGCAATAAATAAAAAATTATAATAATAATAATACAAATAGTTGTGAATGAATTATGAATATGAATTATCCTGATAGCTATAAAAATCTTAAGCAACATAACTTGACGTAACCCACAAAAGCAATTCGTAAGGATTTGATGGTCCCCAATCCAACCACGGAATATGATAATATCATAGTTATACACGGATGTCGTGACTCCTACTCGATGCGACTGAAATATCAGCCGCCATCACGCTATATTTCAAACAAGAAGTGCTCTTTGCTTCGCTAGTCGTCTTTTGTACGTCACGTTAGGCCGTGTGCTTGTGTCTTTTGTCTATAAACCTGAAAACGCGTGTGAGTTGGATTAAGGTCCTACGTTTATTGTAAAAATTCCATGATCTCACTCGATAACAATGACCAGTCAAAATACTGAATTATAAAATATAAAACTTCGTGTGTGATTAAAATTTATTAGAGAAAAATCATTAGAAATACTTAACTTTAATTAGCCCGGATGTGTTTCTACAGATTTAATTTACACGGAAGTCACTCTGATGCTTAAAAGTATTGTTACAGATGGAAGTAGATTTAGGCAATGACGTAATAACCGCCTTACGAAGCGATCTAGCTGGGCTGCAATATAAAAGAGATAAACTTATATCTGAAGTAAGTTTTTATTGTCATGAAAATTTTCGTTTTAGTCAATTTGAACTTAATTGAAAGCAATTTCCATTATTATATCCTAATTTCATTATTTAGCCTGTGACATATTTTCAGAACGGTGATTTAAAAAACCAAATGCTGTCCCGTGACCAAAGAATACTCGAACAACAAGTTGAAATCGATCATCTTCGTGAACAAAATGCAAGACAAAACGCCATTATATCGTCGCTCAGAAAGAAAATACAAGATCTCGAAGAAACACATCGTAATCTACAAACAGTGCAGGGACGCAGCGATCTCACAGTACAAACTTTACAGAGGGACAACCGTTACTGCGAAGAGAAAATTAAAGATTTAGAGAAGAAACTGCGCTCTCTCGAACTTGATTGTCATAATGAGGAACAGCAAAAAGAAAATGCTCGTTGTCAATTTCATGATCTAATAAGGCGTCTATCTGCCGCGCTGGATGCTGACTTTTGTGATAGCACGCACACTCACTCCCCAGAGGCTCTTATTGTTAAAGCAGCTGAATTAGTTCAAGAGATCACAAGATTGAAAAACAAATGTATGAACACTACCGAAANTCTCGAACTTGATTGTCATAATGAGGAACAGCAAAAAGAAAATGCTCGTTGTCAATTTCATGATCTAATAAGGCGTCTATCTGCCGCGCTGGATGCTGACTTTTGTGATAGCACGCACACTCACTCCCCAGAGGCTCTTATTGTTAAAGCAGCTGAATTAGTTCAAGAGATCACAAGATTGAAAAACAAATGTATGAACACTACCGAAAGTTTATCGACGACAGAACAAGATCTACGGAGCTGTAGAGATGCTTTAGAAAGATCAAATAATGACAAAGATATATTACAAAGACAGCTCTCATCTCAACTCCTAGATATTGAGAGACTGAAACAGGAGAAGGAGTCTCTCGCTGTACAGAATAGAGTTGTAGAACGAGAGTTGCATGAAGCCAGAGAAAAACTATCACACTGCACTAAAAACTTAAACGTCGTAACAGATAATGTTAATCAAAATGAATCTATTATTGTTCAGTTGAAAGGTAACTGTGTAGAAGTTGTAGTAACATACTTTTGGATTATATTTATCTACTTGCGCTATCGCACACAGTATCGGTAGAATATTTTGGCATCTATTTATTTGAAGTTACTTACAAGCCGCCAGGCAAATTTAAGCCCTCGAATTAGATGTATGAAATTATAAAGTATACTTAAGACAACTACTACCGTTATAGAAAGACAATGGGGCGAAATTATTTTCTCAATACTGCATTAAAACAAATTAAATTAAACAGATAGTTTTAATAAAAAGTTTTATTTTTGTAGAAGACTTACGACATCGAGACGAGAAATACCAAAGACTTCATGCAGAATTTAGGAACACGATGGAATCCTTTGCTATTTTATTAAGCTTACCAACCAGATTTGTTGAAGCTCACGAAAGCACTATAAAAGAAAGAATCCGTGAAATACTAAGTGAAAGTAAAGATAAAACTGTCGTAAGTTGCACTTTTAAAAATCATAACCGCATTAACCAATAAATAAATTATTTGATTATTTTTTTCCTTCATTCGTTTCAAGCAAATAGAGGCTCTCCGAGACAAGCTGAACATGGAATCTCAACAGCTGGGCAGAACCGCTCATTTGCACGATCAAGCCACGACGCGTGTTAGAATACTCGAAGACGAAAGGAATATGCTAGAAGCTAAAGTTCACAAGCTCGAATCGGAACTGAATGCAATGGAGCTATCCAGAGACAGCTTAAGGAAAGATAAAGCGAACGTGGGTATTGTTCGTAAACTTTTACATACATTCCAAACATATTCCCCAACATTTATGCCAAATGTTAAGCCGTTATCCTACGAGCTTTTTCTATAAATTCTCATCGTATATACCATATATGATTATACTACCTGCTACTCAATATAAACAGATATTGCTATAATAAACTTTGTAAGTATTTAAGGCCTGTACAGATTATCGATCAAACGCTCCTTCAATTAGGGCAGCGGCTCTCAACTACCGTGTCGCGACACATTATTGTGTCGCAAGGCCCTCTCATAATATGTCTAGCGAAATTTACAAATACGATGTATGTATTTATCTAAGGCGACCGGGGAATTGTATGTCTGGGGTATAAGGGGTTAAAATACAACTCTATACTAGATACATACAATAATAATAATATATAATTTAATTAATGTATTTTACCCTCACTAAAATTATCAAAAAAAATCAGATACGTAAGTATGTAGGGTGTCTCGAATTTGTAAAGAATATGTTTCCCGTCGTTTAGTAAAAAAAGTTGAGAGCCGCTGAAACAGAATAGCCATAATTGCGTAAATAAGGTTAAAAGTTTCATACTCGCGGACGGTCCCTATCGAAAAATGCAAGGCTTGCGTGTTTTTATTTACGTTACATAACGTGCACACTTTAGCTTTTGAAGCTTTTTTCTCACTGCTAAGAAGATCTATAAATAAAATTGAACGCCCTCTTGGTGTTGCCTTGAAACAAGAGAACAATGCCTGCTTCGTATGTAAGCTTACTCCATGATGTTATTTTTTTTATGAATGAGGGATTGCTGGTGGCCCGAAGGCCTTCCAGTTTCACCGGGACGAGTGCGCGAGCAAAGGCTCGGCCAGGAGGTGTGGGATTTGTTAACAGCTGCCCGAGCGCCTCCAAAGGAGACCTAACAACTCAAGAACAGCTGCTTCGCGAATGCATCTACTACCGGATTGGAATCGCAACCGGCTCAGAAGATCCGACAAGAAACTCTGCGGGCTAGAAACTCAGCGGGCAAATCCATGATATATTTGAAACTATATACGTATTCGCAGCACGGTACGGCATCCGTGATTCCTAACAAGAAACAGATTCGATTTATATTTTTAATGTAACGTTATAAAAAATCTACTTAGGTGTATAGGTACAGTACTTTCATGTAAAGTTAAGGAGAAAGAATAATAATTTTTTTGGTTAACAACAAAAGCTGAACATACTGCTTAAGAATTCTCAGTTTTGATAATTGTGAAATAAAAACAACGGAATATGTATTGTTAAAGTTTACTTACGTTTATATATTAAACTAGCGGCCCGCTCCGGCTCCACTCGGGTCTTTAACAAAAATTTCAACGATATTTGACGTTGTTTTATTTTTTTAAATAAAAGAACACTTATTGCGACATAACTTTTATTCTACCATCAATAGTTTTCGCAGGGCACGCGATGTAAATAATATTTTAGGTAATTTTTTTACACCTTTGGTTACATTATTAGAGTTTTAGTAAGGATGTCAAATTTAATTCAATTATAGCCTATGTCACTCGGGAATAGTGTAGCTTCCAGATACTGTAAGAATTTTTCAAATCGGTTCAGTAGTTTCGGAGCCTATTCAATACAAACAAACAAACAAATCTTTCCTCTTTATAATATTAGTATAGAAGTATAGATAACTTATTAAAAAATTTATTTTACGTATATAAGAGTTTTACAATTTCACCGTTGTTGTTTTTTTTAATGTATTGTTTTGTTCTCTTGCGTTGTTACATTGTTGCAGTTTGTGGCATTCCTCGAGCGTCTAAGCAGAACGCTAAATATGGACGAGTTGACCCAGGATGTCGGAATAGAATTACACACTGAATCCATTATACATCGAGCTGAGCAATTGGCGCGGCTGGAGAGCGATAAAATTGTTGACAAGGTCAGTAAGTTGCGAGTGAACGCCTACCAGCGCGCTTCACAGAGAACTTTTATAACATTCCTCGGTGTGATTTTAAAGTTTTATTATCTGATATATCAATATATCTTACAATCATGTACCGATTGTGAAAATTTTATTTCAATGAATATTGAAGTTACTGTATAGAAGTTTTTTTTAATGACTAGCTGACCCGGCAGGCTTCCTAGTACCTCAATCGAAAAATAAAAAACCTAAACTTTTGTATAAAATAAACTTAAAACAAACAAAAGGAATCCGCCTGACGGGGGACACATCAAATGAAAAACAAAATTGTTATTTTTATTTAATTCCGAGCATTTTCATATTTATCTACCTTTTAAACCTTCTCTGGACATCCACAAATAATTTAAGACCAAAATTTGACAAATCGGTTCAGCCTTTCTCGAGTTTTAGCGAGACTAACGAACAGCAATTCATTTTTATATACATATATAGAAGATAGAAGATAAAATTTACGATTTATTTTGTTTTCACTTTATTATACGTCTGCAAAGGCTATCTTACCTTATAATTTTTCTTGAAACTAATAGTTTAACAGCAAAGTTAGAAGCGATACTAAATGAACAATTGATTGTTCAACATCGCATTTAAATATCAAGATGTTAATAATTCTGTTGCTCATGTACAAAATTTGCAATTGTACAAAATTTTAAATTTTAAACCAATATCGATTTTTACATAAAATAGGAGAACACTATAGTATATAGGATATTATGTAGGATAATCGTGTTTTGGTGATAATAACATAATCTGATCATTATAATGACATATTTTAATCGCCCATCATGTGAAGAAGAAAAAAGTATAAATTGTAGCACAGAAATTTTAAATACAAATCATTTAACGATAGGACATTTCTTTATGCAAATGTTGCTTGTGTATATGCGTTTATTTTATAGTAAAGTAAAAGTAAATTTTATATTACACATTATAAATATGTGTGTGTTTATGTAGCTGCTATATTATGGATATTACGGTAGCCTGCCCCGACTCCGCAGGGAAAGATCTTTCCATGACTTGCCTTATCTCAAAGAAGTAAGACTAATGTTATTCAAAATTGGCATGCTAATACTCGTTAATCCGTTATTGAACACTTAGAATATTGGGTTGAAAACATACCAAAATTTGTTCGCGGTTAGAATTTTAATTAACAAATAATTTAATCAATAGTCCTAGGTTGACACGCCATTCAAGAAGTAATTAGCAAGATACGTTCTATCTATTTTAATTCACTGTAGATATGATATGTATAAAGTATGTATATTTATCTTAGTTGCATAGTTAATGTTACTTTATTATTATTTTAGATAGTTAAGCAGTTAAGCTATTTTAGATAGTTATTTAAATTTGAAATATTTATAATGCGAAAATAGTCTGCTGTAATGCCTGTTTTTATTATTTAAAAATACAGATTTTTTCCGGTAAACAAGGAGACGATTCCAATCACGACAACACTAATTTGTGTATCGCACGCAATGCTGCATTTTAAAAAGTTAACTGACGCGCGTTAACGAAATTTCTGGGAATTGCGGAGACCGGTAGCTATATACGCATTTTGTTTCGCGTAATGCGAACTAATGATAACCACAATAAGTATGAATGCTTAGTTACGTAAACAAAAATTGTTTTCCGTTGACTTTAGGCTTGTAGTTTATTTCCGTATAGGCACAGGGGACGGTTTCAATACGCCCTATATTTCTGCATGGCTTAAAACGAATATCATTGGTAAAACTTAGCTGAAGACATTATGAATTTCATCGTTTACCTAAACACGTAAATAAAGTAAAATTGATTTGGCAAAATGTGGTTTTGTTTCATTTCTTGCAGACAGCAGTGGTTTATCAGCTACAAAGAAGGATCCGAATTTTGAGGGAACAATTACAAAGAAAAGATTTACATTTAGATCTATTGAGGCGTAAACTTAGCGTTCAGGTAAATCAAATTGAATAGATCATTAGTTTCATTGAACGTGCTGCTAGTTTTTTAATTATAAAAAAAAATATTGACACCCAATATGGAACTGATGAAATTTTAAGCGCAAAGTTAAAATTTTTGTTTACATTGTAATAAAATTAGTTTGGTGTAACGCTTTCCCTGTCTTTATGATGTTTTTTTTTTCATTTATTTCAATGTTTTTCATGAATATTCATTTTGGTAGGCAGCGGCTTGGCTCTGCATCTGGCATTGCTGAAGTCCATGGGTGACGGGAACCACTCACCATCGGGTGGGCCGTATGCTCGTTTGCCTACTAGGGCAATAAAAAATAGAATGTGACGGCAGAAGGCAGACATTTATGTGCTGTCAGTAACGGCAGAATAAAAAAATGATTTTTCGATACCAAATTGAGACATTCTTTATTTTTTATCTGAAAGTTCGTTTATTTTTAAGAACTCTATGAGATTGGTATAAAATGGGGATGGATTTTCTATAAAAGCGTATTTTGGTAGTTTTTTCAAACTATTATTTATTTTTCATTTTTTAGTTGAATTTCAATATTTTTTTTAATATTGAATTATCATCGGTCCTTAATAAGTATACCAAATTTCGAGTTAATCCGACGTTTTGAAGGCGGTCAAAATCATGTTCAAATATTCCGTTACAAACATACATACGTCTGAAGCTAGTAAAAGCGTATTAAAAAGAAAACATTTTTCGTTAATTTCTGAATACGTATTCGGAAATTGGATTTTATTGAAGATGTCGATTGGACAGGAGGAAAGTTGCCGCGTGCGCGCCGTGCTGCAGGCGGAGCGCGACGAAGCCATGTCTCGCAGTAAGAAATTAGCGCGCCAGTGCGACAAGCTGAGCGCTCAGCTAAGCGACGCGCGCGCCCAACTGCGCGACCTCAACGCACAACTCGCCGACGCCGCCGACTACAAGGTCCGCATACTTAAACATTATTAAGGACTCAACTTCGTCACGTAATTAAAAGTTCTGTGTGCTTAGTGCGAGTTTTTTAACGTTCTCGATAGCGTAAAAGTTATTTTTATTGCTTAGATGGGTAGACGAGCTCACAGCCCACCTGGTGTTAAGTGGTTACTGGAGCCCATAGACATTTACAACGCAAATGCGCCACCCACCTTGAGATATAAGTTCTAAAGTCTCAGTATAGTTACAACGGCTGCCCCACCCTTCAAGCCGAAACGCCTTACTGCTTCACGGCAGAAATAGGCGGGGTGATGGTGCCTACCCGTGCGGACTCACATGAGGTCCTACCATCAGTTCGCTCATATTTATATGGAATGGGATCATTTGCATACGTTTGCCGCTGGGGCATTGTTCCAATTGCATACAAAATTGGGCTAACTCGTACGTTATCGAGAACGTTAACAAACTCGCACTAAGCATACTGACTGCGTTTTTGATAGTATGTACTGTGAAATCTCCGATCCCATATAACTGGATCATATTCTCGTTACATTCGAAGTCGTGCACTAGTGAAAATAGATGTTGTAATTAAATTTTAGAGCGTATTATTGTATTATGTTTTTATACTTTTATATGACTATTTTCCCTAGAAGAAACTATGAGTAAAAAGTTATCTTAGAATTGGAACTTATTATTGGAATACCAATAATAATCAAATGGCAAGGTTAAAATGATTATCTCAATACAAACGCGATTGCATTTAATCATAGCAAAAGTAGATCTACGCATCAAGTAATCGTTCAATTACATTTGTTTCGATCAAAGAACAGAAGTTTACGAAACGAATTAATCGATTACGTCATTCTGTATTAGATAACTTCATTGGAACGAGCGCGAAAGATCGAAGAACTACAAAAGAGATTAGACGAGGCCGAATTGTTGCGTTCGCGGTATAACCGGAAAGTCAACGTGCTGAAAGACCAAGTTAGAGCCACCGGAGAGACCTTCGAACAGGAAAGAACTTCTACTGAACACCAGATCGCGATGTTGAGAGACGATCTCGCGAGGACTAAAGAAGCCCTGGCTGAGTGTCAGCGACGGGAAGCTCAATTGCAAAGTTTCAGGTTACTGTCTAGTAAATAGATACAACGTATGCTGGTATTAACCGTGAGCGATGTCGACCACCTGCCTTCCAGAAGTCTTAAGCCTTAAGTCGTCGTGGCCTAAAGGATAAGACGTCCGGTGCATTCGTATCTAGCGATGCAACGGTGTTCGAATCCCGCAGGCGGGTACCAATTTTTCTAATGAAATACGTACTTAACGAATGTTCACGATTGACTTCCACGGTGAAGGAATAACATCGTGTAATAAAAATCAAACCCGCAAAATTATAATTTGCGTAATTACTGGTGATAGGACCTCTTGTGAGTCCGCACGGGTAGGTATCACCGCTCTGCCTATTTCTGCCGTGAAGCAGTAATGCGTTTCGGTTTGAAGGGCAGGGCAGCCGTTATAACAATAAAAATAAAGTCAGGAGAGCCGTATGCTCGTCTACATAAAAATACAATTTAAAAAAAACTAAAAAAAAAGACACGGAACGCACCAGCGGCATGTGGAAACTGCCGAATGCGTTAGTCTTTGCGAAAGCTCATTGTAATTCTCTCGTCGTATTTGTAACAAAAGTTCATGGCTGCGAGTGCTATTTGTAATTCTTTACTATTTTGATTAGGAACTCAATTGCCAAACTCCTCGGTATTCTGGTGCCGGCGTCAGTGTCTGACTTCGAGATGGTCTCGCGGCTGCAGAAGCTGATCGACGCCCACCATGACTTTACTATCGTGTCGAGGAGGTACGACGATCCTGCGCTGCTCAGAGCTTCCTCGCGGTCACCGCCACCTTCCAGATGCAGAACTAGAACGCCAGACAGGTAAAATAACCGTTCCCAGTGAAACGTTCTCCCGCAGCATCCGTCACCGCTCTCTGTCGACGTCGCCCAAAACACGTCATTACGGATCCTCCCGATCCATTAACCGTGCTTTTAGGTACCACAAGCTCGTCGAACCGGTCGCTTGCGACGAAAGGCTCGACGAGCGAATTCACCCATAGACACAGCCCACTGAGTTTCTCGCCGGATCTTCTCAGTGGGTCGCGTTTCCGATCCGGTGGTAGATTCTACGAAGCACTGCTCTTGCTTGGGCCAGTGTTAGCAACACTCCGGTTTGAGCCCCGTGAGCTCACCTACATGTTAGGGTAAAGCTGAAATAACCTCTCAAGGCTCGATCAACTTTTGAAACTTTAATTCAAATTAAAAATATATCACACTACTTCTTAACTTATTTGTATCAGTCAACTCTCCCACAGATATCAGTTATTCAATAATTATTATATGTTTAATATTTTTGCATTTTTCATCTAAAAGATCAATTTTGACATGAATTTGTTCCCGGGAACACCGATAGTCAGTCGTCTAATTGCGGATGGGCACGACCCGACTTTTATTGAGTGGTTACTAATAGACCTTACAACGAAGTGGCAATCTTATTGGTTGACTCGATGGCGTAGTAGTTACGTCTTCGACTGCGAGACGAGAGTCGTGTGTTCGTTTCCCACATTGGGAAACAATGACGCGAAGAATAGCGCTGTTTGCTCTTTATTTGGGTGTTTAACATCTATGCATGTATATATTTAAACGTACTATATCATCTCTGGTTTTAATAGTTCCGGGAATGCTAGTTTAGCGTCAGATAACTGTGTGTAATTTGATAAATTATTTAGTGCATTATGGGCTGTCGTAAGACTTAAAACCGAAACACAACATTCCATACCAGCAGTAATTAGTAGATTTCTTTGTTGGGATGGAACAACTCTCACCAAATTTGTTGGTATTTTCATCTTCACCAGAACGGGTGGGCGAGCTCGTGCCCCGCCAGATGGGGTGCTAGCAGTTCACGAGTAGCTACTTCATGACTGATGAATTTAAAAAATTCGATTAAATAACAAGTTAATGTCATCGAACCTGTGAACACACTCGCTTAAAATTACACAAAAAAAGTCCAGAAATCATACGCTAATCCATTTTGAAATACTTTGAAAAATAACGAAGTTCGGTGAAATGTAACATGCATTAAAGCCATTGCGTTAATAAAAAGCAGTCTTGAAATCACGCCGGTCCCAACAAAGAGATTATCGGACGCGCCGACGAAGCGATAAGCTTGTTAATGGAACCAACGCTTGTCCGCAGATCGCTTCGCTACGATGACTCGGGTTACGCAGACCCGGCCTTCGACATCGACGATGACTTGTACAAGACCAGACCGCCCTTGTGACAGTCAAGACGACGCACTAGATTTTAATCGTGCATATTCAATTCCTTTGTATAGAAAAAAATATAATATAATCCAACTTATGAAATCAGTAATATCTCTGTAATATAATCTGTTGAAAAAAACATGTCCTTGACGAGAAATTTTAAAGACAGTTCAATATAGAACAATTTACTCGTGTATTTGTAAAACGTATTACGATTTCAAATGTATTTATTGTCACAAAAAATAGTTGGATTGCTTGTCGTTTGATTAGTGAGTATCTACACGTGTATGTACACTTAATATTGTAACTAAGAATTGAATCAAGTCTCCAGTCGAGATATCAACATTCATTGAACGTGATCAAAAATCGTTTTTGACAAAAACACCTTAGTTTTTTTTAAGGATGCATTGGAAAATTTAAAAATAACTGTTTCGCGTTTCCAAAATTTGAAAATCTAAATTCACCGGTTTTCCTTACACGATGGATTCCGTGCACGTAGAGAATCATAATAACTATAAAATTGATCTCAGTAATCTAAACCTATGTCGTATTATTTAATGTTGATTAGGATATATTTTTTTAATCTTTAAATAGGTATTATTAACTTCACGAAATTGGAACAAATTCAACTGCTTTCAAACGTTTTTTAAATAAATAATTTATCTGTAGCTTAGTTTTAAAAACGTATTTAATAATATTTATATGTTAAAATTTTTATGCGTCTACTGCAATACGAGAGGCTTAGACTAATGCCTTCTATTTTGAAGTTTACGTGGCCTAAAGTGGATTGGGCTCTCATCAAACGCTGCAACGGTGCCCGATTTCAAATCTCGAAGGCCAATTTTTTTAATATAAAATACGTAGTCAAAACGTCTTTACGAACGACTGATGAACTCAATGAACCGATAAACTCCTCCTATCTACCTACCACCTACCACCTACCACCATTACTCCATCATAGTTACCATCCTGTCAAAACGGTCATGAGTGCGGGTTCGAGGGGCGCTACTACCGTTATACATACAATCCGATGTCTCAAATTTGGTGGCAATACTCACTGTGCGATATCTATGGACATTCTAAGCATATATGCATTATATATCTTTTAATGTCTGTATGACATTAAAATATATATAATGCACGAACCTCTTCTTATGTTATTTGCATAATATTTTCTTGTTTAATAATTGTTAAGCCTAAAACTTTTTGAAATTATGGCAAAGGGCTACTACTTTAGTGTTCGTCCACCAAAGCTACGAGACCGCACGCAAATTCGCCACACAAATATTGTTTAGACACACTCAATAAAGCACTTACGAAAAACTGCATACATAATAATATGTCTATTAAATTATAATTCCTTACCTGTACCCTCTATAATTCCATTGTTTACACCATAGATAATACGCTAAATATTTATAATCTCACTACCATAATTGGTTACGGTTGGCAATGTAATGAACATTTTGATTACCGGTCATTCCTTTGGAGGGTCAACGTTACAGACAATCACGGCAAAATCTTCAATGATGCTTGCGACAAACGGCAAATTACTCTAGCTTAATGTAGAACCATCTGTATTTTAATTAGTTTTTAAGGGAAAATAAAAATAACTCTGGTCACTCCAGACCTCAATGCCTTCAAATACAAAAAGGATTTTTATGGAACGTTTCAGTAAGATATGTAATCTAAGTTTTTATAGTTATTAAGATATGATCTCATGTGTAATGTAGGATTTTCAAATATTATTGTTTAAAAAATGACGTTACTGTTGTAACGTAGTGCTGAGTTAACAAAAAACAGTACAGCAATAAATATGGTTAGAAAAAAAACAAATTTGTATTTATTTTAAAAGCCAATCGATTTTTTGCTAAACATCGATTGGCTTTCGATCGATTCGACTTCATTTTACGAACAAACGACTCCGCCGACATACATATATTTTTATTTACATATACATAGGACAAATGAATAAATATTTACTATAATATGTACATACTAGATAAGTTAGGCATTGTTTAATTAATCTTTTGCATAGCGAAAGCTTAGACGATGGTTCGAAGAAGTACAATGGAAATAGATATCGGTGATGGCGCGTCCATTTGCTAAAATTACTACATAAAAAAAAACTTTGTAATCCCGATGTCTAAAATATAATATATAATATATAAAAATCATAAGCACACTACATTATGAATAGACGTTCAAAGTAAAACATCAGATCTGAGGCACAGATACAAGTAAGAAAATTGAACACAAGAATCTAATGTACCCTCAAATTAAATAATTGATATCTAGGATATTTGTTGAAAGTCATTGTAATTTATAATCATCACAGTAGTTAAAATTATTATTCAATCACAATGATCGTGAAATTAGTTATTGGGATTTTGTTTCTCAACACAGGTTTGCAGACTTTTTAATAATTTCATAACTTTGCTTTAGAAATAAAAATAGTCTGCTATTCAATCAATTTAATTGTATGTATTATAATATAAAAAACACGTTATAGTTTCACCAAGACACGTGCCTAGATATTCTGATTTGGACGAAGAAGATCAACATTTGTTCAGAGCAGCATACGACACTCCCAGCTACGATCACGAGGAACAGGAAGACAACGAAATATCCCTCGACAAGCTGGACTTGTTGAAAGGCGGTCTTTGGGCTGTGAAGGCGAAACTGAAAGAATTAAAAGCATTTAACAAAGCCCTCGCCGCGAACATGCTCTCCACCAAATTAAAGCTCAAGGAACTGCTGAAAAATCACATGGTGCCCGTCAAAACTATTAAAGATGTCGACAAAAAGAAGACTTATTATCACTATCAGGTAAAATATTATTGAAATACCTCTCTTCAAAGTATTTTTACGCTTTTTCTTTTTGTTAATGTTGGTGATAAATTAGCATTAGCATGATTAATAGAACGGAAAACAATAAACGTAAGCAAATAGATTAGGTTATTTTAATATATAGCACAGATCTTTGATAAGTTCCAATTGGCCTGCTCACAAAAACAAGTTATAGATTGCGACAATCCTTATAGACAATATAGTTATAACAAAAAAAACGATGACGATTATTTGGGAAATTTTATAACTTATGGAATAATGTAAAATAATTTAATATTTTGAAATTTTATAACTTATTGAATAATGTAAAATAATTTAATATTTTGACAATGCGATATTCATATAGCAAACACATACAAACATCAAATTCATAATTAAAATAAATTAATTAAGTAAGTGTTTGTAAGTTCATAAGGCATATTAGTTTCAATGTCGTTGTTCAATGGTATCTTATCTTTTCACCGTGTAATTTCACGGAATTTGACTTTGAAAGTTCGTAACAAACACAGACCTTTTGAATATGTGTGGCTGTGTGAATTCTAGATATACATTGAAATCAATATAACTATAGAATAGGTATTCTACAGTTTTTTGTAAGACGCCGCTATTACCCAGTAGACCTACTTCTGTGATGAATGTCAATCAACAGACCGACAAAAACTATGGGTCAGCCGTTGCATCAAACCAATTGAGACTTGATTCATCGTGTCTCAAGGTGAGCATCGCCGCATTAGCATAGCTTAGCAATAGGTGGACCGTATTTTTTTTTATTGCTTGGATGGGTGGACGAGCTCACAGTCCACCTAGTGTTAAGTGGTTACTGGAGCCCATAGACATCTACAAGGTAAATGCGCCACCCACCTTGAGATATAAGTTCTATAGTCTCAGTATAGTTACAACGGCTGCCCCACCCTTCAAACCGAAACGCAATACTGTTTCACGGCAGAAATAGGCAGGGTGGTGGTACCTACCCGTGCGGACTCACAAAAGGTCCTACCACCAGTCTATGTTGACTCATCAAAAATAGATAGTTCAAATAAGTAAATGTTAAAAGCATCACTCTGTTCTCTTACAGCCAACGCCGTCGCATCCACAATACGAACAGTATGCTGGACCTCAATACGGCGCACCCCAGCACGGCTACGACCCGTACTACGGCCACTAATTCTGAACAATGCTACTGCTAAAGAAATTAACTTAAAAGTAAATTAATTTTACACGCAAATTTGTATTAAATTCACTTCTTTTCTTTCATCAAAAGAAAAATAGTAGAAATAAAATCTGGCTCCAAGGCAACCTCGCGTTTGATTTCTGCTCTTTGTCTCATCGTAAACTGTATCGAGACATATTTTTTTCCGTGCGTTTACTCCGTAATCGAACACGTCATAAGAAAGTGCATTAATAAAATGTGTTCTTAATTGTTAAGGTCGCTTTGTAGTTGAGCGGTGTAGTTGCCGACGACTCGCGCACAGGGCACTCGTGTACTAGATGCGATATCGCTAGCTCCGATACAAAGAAATTCGGAATAGAAGAGTCGCTTAGTTGTACCGAGGTCTGAGAGCAACCCTTGAAGGACAACGTCATGTGTTAAAATTCTAAAAACGAATTCACAATAAAAATGTTTTTGTTCATAATCGCGAAGAGAGTGGACATGTCCCTGTGTATACAATAGGATCAGCAGGCTTGTTACCTGAAGTGCTGACTTACCGCCTTCCACGAGATGAATTACCGCTTCATCCGGATTTTAATACTGGTATGATTTTTATTTATTTTGTTTATTTAATTAATTTTCAGAAACTTTTATTCGAGCGCCGGATTGTTCGTGATTTCTTGGCGTCCAATGAAAATAATAGAAATTTAGGACGGTCGCACTTGTTCGATGATAGTACATACCAGCACCTTGATTATTTTTACCTTGAAGCAATCAGGTTGTTGGTTTGAAGGGTAGGGTAACCGCACGCCCCCTCTTTAATTGATCCCCCAAAAAAAAATGTCTAGTGGTCTGAGATCGTTGTACGCCACTTCACCAAACGATAACCAATCATCTATTGGGTATCTAAAATGAAAGAAAGCACGCGATGAAGTCTCGACATAGGTATTGTAACATACACGCTTCTTCTTTTGCTAAGTGTGAACTAAAAAATCTTCTGTGATATAGGCGTCCTAAAATGCTCAGGTCCTCCAAAAGCTTAAAGAAGACTGGATAGAGGTAGCATCGACCTCTAATGCAAAGATAAACAGTAGCATTAACGCTAAATTAGAACTCGATGAGCTGAAAACTCGTTCGTTTAACTTCTGTGTGTGTGTGTGTTTGTGTGTTACAATAACACTATCATTTGTTTTAAAGCAAAATCGCAAATTAATAAGAAACTTGATAAAGTTATTCGACGAATTGGACAAACGAACCACCCGACAGTTTAACTCTTCAGGAGATTTTCTGAGGTCAATGAGCAGTTTTTTTATTAAACTAAGGGCGTTGGTGCCAAGTCTATTCTCATGAGAAACTTAGCTCAACCAATCAAAATTACTTTCACGATTCGATCTCGCGTTTATTAATGATCTTTTTTTTTCGACAGTTCATTATTATGACTACGACTCGCTAAAATCAAAGAAAATACGGTTTCATAAACAGTATATCTATCTATAGTTTCTTTTTTTCACAAGCTGATTGAAAAGAAAATCCGAAGAAAAATAGGCATACATTAATACAACACAGTGCAAAACCGCTTATTGCACTCAAGTACACTAAAATAACGACAATTTATTGACAAAGTAAATGAGAAAAATTAAACTTGTAACTAAAGAAAATTAGGCGGACTTATCGCTGAAAGCTATCTATCCCAGTCAACCCCATTAAGACGTTTTACAGTTAACGACCTAAGTATAGGATTTACTCCTATGTCCTGTCCCCTGGAAACGCATAAAACAAAAACAAAAAGCTACACCATAAACCCCAAAATATGTTTAACAATAATACTGACTCCGACCGGCAATGGACCCGGACTTGGTAGTACAGTAGCCAAAGTCACTGATCCTTAAAGAAAAGAGATTATAAAAAATGCGACACATACCTATATATAGGTGATTTATAATAATATTCTTTTGGACATTTGGCGTGTGGAGACGTTCATTAACACTTTAATTGGTTACGTTTTTAATTCTGGTAGATTGGTTTTCGTATACAGACATCAAAATACAGACATTCACGAAAACAAAACAATCAGACAAACTCCATGACAAACTTATCAGAAAATATGAGTCCCTCTCGAACTTCTAATATTAAGTCCGCGCGAAGTTGGGATAGCCCCTTAGGCTGCCAACTATAAGGCAGTGAAAAAAGGCAAAATTCTAGACAAGATGGTGCTTTTTTGTACTAAGATGAAAAGAAAATAGTTCTCATGTTAAAAATAAGAAGGAGGAGTACCTTTTTACACAAGTAAAAACCTTGCCGGTAGCTAAAATTAATAAGAATAATACAAAATAGAGAAGGTAGAAAGAAGTGATCCAGTGAAAACCTGAATCACACTAACATTTGCGATACAATCTTGCACAACTATAATATGTATACAAGCTACGAATATATTTTCCTGCTTAACTGATGACAGTGCAGCCAAGTATAGACAAGCCGCTACCTCCCGCTGAAAGCTCTCTTCAACCCTCGTTAGAATAAGACCATGTCATAGCGTTAACAAAATACCTTATTCGAATGCAATTGGAACTTGTATGTCACTCAAGGCGGATACTGACGTAGTGTCTATGTACTCTACTAAAATTTAGTTATGAATACATTTATCTATTTAATTTAATAATTGTTTTACAAAAAGTGAACATATATAAGGACTGGTTGTTTGTCCCATATGCACGTGCATGGTGTATATTTTATATCGGTACAGAGCGTGGTTGGCCTCTTAGACTACCAGCGAATGGGTTTGGGAAAATGTATTGAAGTTCTACAGCTATTAATGGCACTCCCTGGCATAGTTGTATTAATTTACATTGGTGTTTCCAGAATCTATCAGTAGCAGTGGTATTCAGCACACACAAATAATTTTTACCTAATGTTTCATTTAATAGTTTTATTACTGAAGCTAATTTATTTTAAATGTAATTAAGCAATTTAGAGCAGTGCTTCCGCTATGAACCGGTACATACATACGATAGGTACGTTTGTAAATTATCAGAAGCTACAATTACGCAGACTGGTTCAATGTTGCCTTAACAACTTTGATCAAATCCAACAACAAATATAATTTTACGAATACTGTTCAATGCTCAAACGTAAATTTCTAGGCTAGACAATCACTTCTCACCTGTTTCAATTTAAAGACTAACAACGCACAGTCTTCGAAAAAAATGTCAATATTAATATGGTCATTCACATGATTTTGTTTCTTTTTATTCGTATTTTTATGTATCTTTTTAGCTTGTGGTGTGTTTTGTGTGCCTAATAAATAAATTAACAAAAATTAAAAAAATTTGAAATTAAACAAATTTTGTCCATATAAAATTTATCAATCAATTTATCAATTTTTATATATACAGAAATTAGTCCTAGACTAGTTATTAATGACTGTGTGGTGTAAGTAAAAGAGAATCAGCTCTTCTCTTCCAATGGATTTAATAATAAACGCTAAGACAATACATTTCCTTCTTCCAGCTTTCAAGAAATTATTGCGATAAACTCACATATACCTAATACTCCAGTTTATAAAAATTAATTAGAAATCTTATAAAGAGTAATGACTAAATTAAAAGACGCCTAATTTGAGCTCAGTTACCTGAATCAGTCAGCATAATTACCAACATAAAGGTTGAAAACACTTTTTTTTTTTGTTTACGAAAAGATCTACCGTACCTACTACGTTGAACGCCAGTATCATAAATGTCAGAGTGATCTTTAAACAAACTTGATCGAAGCAACAAACTAAATTCGCTCTAGTTGAGGGCGAAACGGGTCTGTGGGACTTCCTCATTTTTTTTATAAAAAATGTCTTCAGACGGTGGGTGGAATTGCTTGAAATTTAATGCTACTTGCATTATACATTTGTTGCCTAATTTAAATTTCGATTGTTTTCGTTTGGCCGTGTTAGTTTTTATATATAGTTTATTGTCTATAGTCCATACGAGTGATTGGAAGAAGCCATTAAATTTTTCTGTTCAATTTCAAATGAAATAAAGCTGTACCTTAGGAAAAACCACATTTCAACCTTTTAAAATAAGATAAAAGTAATTTACTAATATTGTTGTTATCGATGATTCCATAATTTATAGATTTTTTAACATAAATAAACTCTTTTATTTCAACTTTCCATTCATTTTGTAAAATAACTTAAAGTCGTATTATGTATTAAAATTGAATCTTACTAAAAATACAGCACTATATGCTGGTTCAAATAAAGTTATTCAATAGATTGCTCTTTGTGCTTTCAAGTTCTTTATCATGGGTCAGTTTATTTGCATTCAAGTTAAAACACCTCACGATGCAGTAAATCAGAACTGGTTTGTCCGCCTCACCCTGCACACAACCAGTGCATGCCTTATAAGCGTATAATAAAGGCAAACANTGAATCTTACTAAAAATACAGCACTATATGCTGGTTCAAATAAAGTTATTCAATAGATTGCTCTTTGTGCTTTCAAGTTCTTTATCATGGGTCAGTTTATTTGCATTCAAGTTAAAACACCTCACGATGCAGTAAATCAGAACTGGTTTGTCCGCCTCACCCTGCACACAACCAGTGCATGCCTTATAAGCGTATAATAAAGGCAAACAATTACTAAATAAAATCTCTATCTGCTACAATACCGACGCCATTTTATACTTATTTATATGACATGATTAGTATCGTAACGAATACAATGCAATACGTACGTACATATTTTTGTGTAAGCCGTGTACTTACACGATACTATTTTATTAGAAATTTATTGAAATTTACTACATAATTGAAGACACCTTTAGTTCTACTGTTCTACATTGGCAATTTATTTAGACCTGCATCTATATAATTGTTTTATATGCTACACAAAAAACTTAGGTACCTATTAACTGTGACATATCTCTACAAGATCCTATTTTATATAAACTGGACTGTGACTGTGAGCTCTCATACGTATTTTGGTAATGAGCTCATTGCGGATCTCAACAATAATCGAATAATAAAACCCGATTTTGTGTTCACCATTTTATAAAATTTCATACTATACAAATGGGAAGTCCAAATAAAACAAGTTAATACGATACGCAAGGCCAGAGAGAAATCAGAAAAATCAGCTTCAGTAATACCTAGGATTATTTCGTCGTTCTTTTTTCTGTATGGCAATTGGCTTCATGCGACGCCATTGTTGTCAGTGTAGATTTTTGTAAATATACATTTATTATAAATAAAAAATGAGAGAAATCAAATGAAATAATTTTATTTGAAATTGTATTCTATTGGGATGAAATTAAATGAATCGAAATGAGATGGGATGGGATGAAAAGAAATAACATCCCAATGGACTTTTTGGAGGAACCTAAGAAGCCACGTCCTGCCAAAAATACAGGAATTATTTTATCGTGCAGGTGAAAGCCTAAGTCAAATAACCCACTTCAAGATGCTATTCGTTTTTTCTGGGTGAAAAGAAAAGTACCTATCAATAAAGATTTTTATACAACGTTGCACGATAGTTAGCACAATGTTTAAATGTCGACGAACAATAACACCGTTAGCCGCCCATTAACACGAAAACTCTTAAATATTCGAAAAATCA